TTGCTATCCTTTCAAAGTTATTCATGATAGTTGCTGAAGATTTACCTATTTTAATGGACCTTCAAATAACCAACAGACTTATTTTAACATTTTATTGTTTAAAAAATTTCTCAATTTTGTGTGTATATATATATGTATATATAGTGCTCACTTTCTTTGGATATTTTTATTTTTCTCAAACCTAAATTTAAATGCTTTTGAAGTGTTTTCTCTCTTTTTTCCCATTTTAAACAATTGGAACGTTTAAGACTAAATTTTCCTCTAAGTACAGCTTTGGCTTTATCCCACAGTTTTTATAGTGTTCTTGTTTTTGTCATTTTCTAAATAGTCCATCATTTTATTTTTGATGGCATGCTTGATGAAGTATTTAGGAAATTGCCTTTTAAGTATTATAGTAACTATTGTTTCAACATTTAAATTTATTAGTTGCTAGTTTTATTGCAGAGTGATTAAAGGCCTTTGCCTAAGGTGGTGTGGGGCACAAAAATCTAAGTGTCAAGAAATAGCTTCAACAGGGAGTTCAAACCTTGACTCTCACTGCATCTTTTTCCAAAGTTAGTATTTAAAGGAGAAAAAGACTGAGATACCGTTTATTGACAAATTAAATTATTTTCCCACAATTGCCTCTAACCAGTTGGATAAAAGCTTGGAAACAAGGCAAGCTCAGTTATTAGAGGCAACAAGCTACATTACGTTGCACATCTGAGTTGAGGCACAAATTTTTATCCCTGCCCTGTGAACAAGCAGTTACAAATAGTTCTAAATGTCCTGAAGTAGCAAATATGGCATTCAGTGGGCAAGCGCACTGGGGAGGGGATCTCCTTTGAGACAGGGTGGTTGGGAAAGGCACCCCTAGGAAGAGGCGTGACAGCTGAGATCTCGAGAATGGCCAGGTACCAACCAACTGAGTACAGGGAGAGTGAGTTTTTAAGTTCAAAGGTCTTGAGCCTGGAAATAATTTGGCTTGTTCTAGGAATGGACTCTCTGCTGGCAGTTTTATGAACAAATTTGAGAGTCATGGTGATTCAGGGAAATGGATATGGAGCATCAGGCGGGCTGTCTCTCAGCCTTGGTTGAGCCCCTGGATTGTGCCCTGCCAAATGTGGGTCCTTGGCTTCACGCAGGAAAGGATTCAAGAGCAAGCCACAGTTGAGTAAAGGTAGATTTATTTAGAAAGATACATCAATAGGCAAGAGGAAGGCCAGGAGGTGTGGGGGTTGGGTGCTCAGGTTAGAGTAAAAGTAGGTACACACTCCATAGAGAGCAGGCCGTCGCAGAAGAGGGAGAGGAAGGGGGCATTGGCTACGAGGTGCTGTGTTGCCAGTTTTTATGGGCTCAGTGGCTTCGTATGCTAATAAGTGGAAGGACAAGTCTAACTAGTCTAGGGAAGGTGCTGGGATTCCCAGGAAGTTGGCCATTTCCCTCTCTTTGACCTTTTGTGCCCAGCCTTGGGACTGCCATGGTGCCTGTGGGTGTGTTATTCACCATGCTTATATATTACAATGGGCGTATAATGAAGCTCAAGATCTACTAGAAGTCAAATCTCCCACCATCTTGAGCCTCAAGGCCTACTAGGGGTTGAATCTTTTGCCATTCTGGTGTTAATTGCTGTGTTATTCCTCGAATGGCTCTGCTCCCTTCCTGTCTCAACAGAAGATGAAGTTGGAGAGAAAATCATGTCAGTTCTTGGACTTTTAATTTAAATCCTTTGGTGGCATACGGTATCAGTTAGCATAGGCTTGGTGATGCGAGGGGAATGCATGGGGCCCGAATTTCAGAACACAGGTTGACTTCTCACTCACATCACCTTCTCAGTGGGA